CGGCGGCGGGTTCGGTTCTGTCATGGTCCAGTTGTGGTGTTTGGTTTTAATCTGATGAGAGGAGCAGATGGGCTGCGTGGCTTCCACAGGCGAGGATGATGATGATGATGATGTTGATGATGATGATGATGATGATGAGGAAGAGGAGGGGTGAAGATGTTCAGCTGGTGAATCACAGCAGGATGCTGGTGTGAGGTGGAAGCACACAGAGTCCTGGTCCTGGGGGGACGTAGTAAAACCTGCATGACTCAGAGGATCCAGGGAACCAGCAGAACCAGGAGCTGCTGTTCTGTTTCCTGTTTTGCTTCGGCTGATCTTTATCAACAAAACCTCTTAAAGTCCGTTAGCACGTTCTGTTTCCACACCGGTTCCTCTGGGATCCTGCGGACCCCTCAGAGCAGCCGATCCCATGGCGACGGTGTCAGCGGGCCACGCTGACCGGGCCTCAGGAAGCCTGGAGGGAGCCGGAGTCGACGGTACCTCCGGTGGTCCCAGCAGGAGGGAGATCCTCCACGTCATCCAGACACAGGGCCAGTTCTAACGGGTCCAGTTCTAACAGGGCCAGTTCTAACGGGTCCAGTTCTAACGGGTCCAGTTCTAACAGGGCCAGTTCTAACGGGTCCAGTTCTAACGGGTCCAGTTCTAACAGGTCCAGTTCTAACGGGTCCGGTTCTAACTGGTCCAGTTCTAAAAGGTCCGGTTCTAATGGGTCCAGTTCTAACTGGTCCAGTTCTAACAGGTCTAACTGGTCCAGTTCTAACAGGTCCAGTTCTAACAGGTCTAACAGGTCCAGTTCTAACGGGTCCAATTCTAACTGGTCCAGTTCTAACAGGTCCAGTTCTAACAGTCTAACAGGTCCAATTCTAAGAGGTCTAACAGGTCCAGTTCTAACAGGTCCAGTTCTAACTGGTCCAGTTCTAAAAGCTTTGTTGGTTCACTTTATTATTGTTTTTTTCCAGGCTGGACTTTTAGAAACTGTCTGTTGTGTGTAGAACTGTGTGAAAACTTCAGCTGATTTTGTACTTTTTTAGCCACTAATTTATCCAAAATGTTCGAATCATTCAGGACATTAATAATACGACTTTGTAAAATAAAACTTTGAAAAATATGATCGTTTAAATCTGCTGCAGCATACTTGCTTCATTTTTAGCTTTCAGCAACTGTTTTGCTGATTTTAGCTATTAAATGGAGTAAGCTCATTTTTACATCAGTTTTGCTAATATTAGCTTTCAGCTAATGGCCATTTTTAATTTGATGCTGATTTGTAATGTCAGCTACTTGCTACTATTTTACTGATCTTACATATTAGCTTTTGTTTAGCTGTTGTAAGATCATTGCTGCTGTTTTGCTAACTTTCGCTATTAAAGGGTGATATCTAATTTTTAAATCTGTTTTGCTAATATTAGCTTTTAGCTACTGTTTTGTTCATTTAAAACTTTGATTCTGTTTTGCTAGTTTTAACTTTTGTTTTACTAATGTTAGCTTTTAGCTATTTTGCTGACTTTAGCTTTTAGCTGCAGTTTTACTAATTTTAGCTATTAGATATTATTATAATTTCATACAATTTTAGCTACTATTTTTTATTTGACCTTATAGCTTTTGTTAAGCTAATGTTAGCTTATGGCTACTGTTTTGCTAGTTTTATATATTAGATGATGTCATGCTGTTTTTAACTTTTGCTTTACGAATTTAGCTTGTAGTTACCATTTCGCTAATTTTACCTCTTAGCTATTGTTAGCTTTTTGCTTCTAAATTGCTGATCTTACCTTTAAGCTTTTGTTTATCTATTGTTAGCTTTTAGCTATTATTTTGTTGATCTTATCTTTAGGCTTTTGTTTAGCTATGGTTAACTTTTAGCAACTATTTTGCTAATTTTACCTGTTAGCTTTTGTAAAGCTAATTTTAGCTTTGGCTATTCAGTGGTTCATTTTAGCTGTTAGATGCTCTTTTGATCATTTTAGCTTTTACCAACTGTTTTGCTGATTTTACCTTTTAGCTTTTGTTTTTATAGTTTTAGCTGCATGAGTTTAGTGTTAGCTTTAAGCAGATTCAGCTGTTATTTAGCTGTTTTTAGCTGTTTTTCCCCACCTGGTTCCCAGAGTTAAACTGTTTCTGAAGAAGAGACCAGATTTCAGTTTCATCAAACTGAGGTCAAAGTTTTGTGAGATTTAATCCAGGACCTCTGGGACTGTGGCAGGAACTGGACCAGGTCCAGGAACTGGACCAGGTCCAGTTTGGCACCAATTCAGTTCTGTGAGTCAGTCTGTTTGGATCTGTGCAAATTCTCACCCTGAGAAACTGAAACAAACCAAACATTCAGCCTGATATAAGCTTTTTAGGTAAATTAGGCAACATTTCATGAAACGTAATGTTTTTTACAATATTTGACCAAAACAGTTTCAACATTTTTGCAGATTAATCGACGGCGGGTGATATCCATTCTTTAAAGAAAGGCCAAACTTTATATCTTAAATAAAGGAAAACATAAATACCAAAAATTAGGGGTGCACCGATGTGAAAATTTCAGCCGGTATCGATATCCAATATAATTGGGGCTTGCCATGCAACGGCAAATCCATTACTCTACACCTAGTTTTTATTATTATTATTATTATTCCATCACCTTGCGGCTCGAACCGGAGCATGTACCCCCACAAAGTTTATAAAAAATGATCGTCTTGGAGTGGAGATGTGTGCTATTCAACAACTTTTTGATTCGAATTACTACTGCGGAGAAATTAACGAAAAACCGACCGCTGCACACGTCCCGACTTTTGGACACCCGGACCAGCAGAGGGCGCAATTAGGCAGTTCTTAGGGATTTCTCGTTTCCTATAGGTCAAGTTTTGGTTTCAACTTAGGCACACTTGGGCAAGCCCCTTTTAARTTTCGTCAGAAATTTTCTAGTTGTCGATGTTATGGCCAATAACATATTTACGGATATTACACAAACACACTTGGGTCTTTTTTTGATACTGTAACTTAAYGACCAGACCTCTGACATGACTCTACTCCAGTTATTACTGGCTGTGAAATATCAATATTGATTTGATTTATTTATTTATTTAACTGGAAAAGATTATTAAAAATCAAGCCTGACTCAGCATAATTGCAGTTTTACAGCAGGTTCCTGTTCTGCATCACATAAAACACTCAGAATTACAGCATCACAATCACATCATTATACACCATAAACACAAAGACAAACAAGCATACCAAATTTCAAAAAGGCAGCATTTGCAAAATAGGACGTCTAAATATAAGCACAACAAAAAGTGTCCAGCAGATGGCAGACAAGATTCTTCTTAAAGGGCTGTAGTTTTGAAATGGACTTTATGTTTTGAGGAATGTCATTCCATGCTTTAGTATAAACATAGAAGAAAGACCTCTGGCCGTAACGGTCTTTAAAAGTTGGTAATATCAGTTGTCCTTTTGTAACAGATCTAGTTGAATCACTATCATGATCAAACAGATGCTGCTCAACCAACCAGCTCCCCTCCCAAAACACAAACACAAGGATAAAAAGTGGAAAATCAATATCTGACTTTAGTATTGGCCCAGTTTTACATATCGGCCGATACCGATATTAATGCAGTATATCGTGCAGCCCTGTCAAAAACTATACTGTTGGACATTTATCTCAGTTCTTTTAGGTTAAGGTCCCAGAATCATTAAAGATTAAAAGACAAAGTACTTTAATTTAAATCTAAATAAAATTAATTCACATGTTCACAGCAAAGTAGGAAGCAGCTAAGATGGAGGGGTAGAGTCAGGGGGTGTCCATGGCCTCTATAAAAGCTTCTTTGGCCACCCCAACCGCCCCCGTTGCCAGTAAGACGTTGGTGAAACTTCCGTATGCAGAATGTTAACATCAGCTGAACTGGGCAAACAGGTAAATGGTAAATGGACTGTAATTATATAGCGCCTTTCTATCCATCCAGGACACTCAAAGCATTTCACACTACAGACATTCACCCATGCACACACTGATGATGGCAAACTACATTGTAGTCACGGCTGCCCTGGGGCACACTGACAGAGGTGAGGCTGCCATACACAGGTGCCACCGGACCCTCTGACCACCATCAGTAGGCAAGGTGGGTAAGGACAACAACTGAGTCGACTGGACAGGGATTGAACCGGCGACCTTCCGGTTCCAGGACGACTCCCCTAACCACTCTACCACAGTCACCCCTGCCAATAGGTGGCAGCGTAGGTAATCCTACGTGGTCATCACGCAAACTGCTGCAGCCACTGGGGAGAGGATCTGAACCTCCAAATCTCAGGGCATGTCGGAAAAGGGCGGAGAGCGAAAATGAAGACGTTGACCCATGGTCACATGGTGGGGACACGACGCAGAGCTCCTCATAAGCCCCTCTCACTCCAGTACAGGTCACATATGGGCTTCATCCCGTCGGGGTCTCCACTCCGTCCCTTTCGTCCAGCAATTATCTACCAATCTGCCACTGATTTCACGGAACTCCTGTTTGGTGGTTTGACTCTGAAGTTTGACTGGACCAGTCGTACATTTGGACACACTTTCTGACAGCTTCAGACCGCTGCTCATCCAAACAATCCATGTTGCTTCAACAGGTGAGTTCTGGAAGGACGGGTGTTAAACTGGACTCTTTATGTCTTTAATGGATTCCATGATGTGATAATGCCACAATAGTTTAGTTTCTTTTTGAGTCTAATTTTTTCTTGTAGTTCTGGACGTGTTGACACTGTGTGAACTTGGATCACACGTCTGTCTCTGACTCCACCCTCTAGAGGTGGGAGGCAGGGGGGTCAGGTTGGTCCTGTGTGGGCTACTTCCTGAAGGGGTCCATCACTGGAGCCATCAGTTCTCTCTCCATGTCGAGCAGAGTTCTGATGGATCCAAACGGTCTAGCTCCAATCTCAGCTGTTTTCCTCCCAGCTGTTCTCATCAATCAGTAACAATAAACGTTGTGCTTTTAATCAGGTTAGTGACGCTGCTGCAGGACCTCCGGACAGTCCGGACCCTCCAGACAGTCCGGACCCTCCAGAGGTTCTCTTTGACGTCAGTGGACTTCATCCTTCAGCTGAGACACAGAACACCTGCAGGACGAGTGCAGAGAGCATGACCCGAGGTTTATTACCAGGTGATGACAGCAGTGTGTGTGTGTGTGTGTGTGTGTGTGTGTGTGTGTGTGTGTGTGTGTGTGTGTGTGTTTAATACAGAGTGAGGACATATGGATTCAACCAACAAAGTATGGACATGTTTAGGAAGGGAGGACATTTTCTCATTGTCTTCACTTATTTGCAGCTCTACTAGTTAGCTTTAGAGGTTTGGTGTGAGTCACGTTTTGGTTCAGGTTAGGGTTAGACTAGTAATAGTTAGAGTTAGGGCTAAGTTGAGAGGTAGGTTTAAAAAATGAATGAAAAATTAATGGAAGTCAAAGCAAAGTCCCCATGAAGACAGCGGGACACAAAGGGTGTTTGAGGAGGCAGAACATGAAGTGTGCCTCATCAGACATAATGTGAAAGTCTTTACTCCGACAGGATGTTTTATCAGTAATAAGGTTTTAACTGTAAAATTTTAACAGTAATAAAGTTTTAACAGTAATAAAGTTTTAAAAGTAAAGTTTTAACAGTAAAATTTTAACAGTAATAAAGTTTTAAAAGTAAAGTTTTAACAGTAAAGTTTTAACAGTAATAAAGTTTTAACAGTAAAGTTTTAACAGTAAAATTTTAACAGTAATAAAGTTTTAACAGTAATAAAGTTTTAACAGTAAAATTTTAACAGTAATAAAGTTTTAACAGTAATAAAGTTTTAACAGTAAAGTTTTAACAGTAAAGTTTTAACAGTAAAATTTTAGCAGTAATAAAGTTTTAACAGTAATAAAGTTTTAAAAGAAAAGTTTTAACAGTAAATTTTTAACAGTAAATTTTTAACAGTAAAGTTTTAACAGTAATAAAGTTTTAACAGTAAAGTTTTAACAGTAAAGTTTTAACAGTAAAATTTTAACAGTAATAAAGTTTTAAGTTAAAACTTTATTACTGTTAAAATTTTACTGTTAAAAATTTACTGTTAAAACTTTACTGTTAAAACTTTTAACAGTAAAGTTTTAACAGTAATAAAGTTTTAACAGTAATAAAGTTTTAACAGTAATAAAGTTTTAACAGTAATAAAGTTATTTTCTTGTTTCATCAGTTTGTCTTTAAGTTGTTCAGGAAAGACTCGGCTCATTTTAACAGAAACCAACAGGTGTTGCTCCAGAGCAGCAAGACCTCAAACCTGAGAGTCAAACCTGAACTGGACCTGTTCCAGCAGATCCTTCTGTTCTCAGAGGACCACAATAGTTTTATTTTTCACTTTGTCTGATTTTTTAAAGTTAAAAATAACGATTTCATGAGATGAAAGTCTGAAACCTTAGACGTTCAGACTCAAACGGAAAAAACTTAAGTCCAGCTGCAGACTGGGGTTGAGAAACATCTGAGTTTAAATAATCAGAGACTAAAATTAAACCCAAAGAAATAATCTGGTTGATGTTTTTGTCCACTGATGACCTGACTGAACTCTGCCATCTCTTCTGTTCAGACTTGTCTCAGACTGGAAACAGTTCAGCTGAAGTGTCGTGGAGTTTATTCAAACATAAACAGAACACGAGTCAGATTTTAAGTTCTGACTTTAATCACAGGATAAACTCAACTAAAAGCCTGAAGGTTCTGCTTCTTCAGACAATTACTTAGATTCTCATTTTTACTGTTTTTATGACAGGTGTGTAACTGTCGCTCACCACCTGGCATGTCACATGGTTATTACCTCATCTGTTGGTTATGATAACCAGGATAACCAGTACCTCATCTGTTGGTTAGGATTACCAGGATAACCAGTACCTCATCTGTTGGTCAGGATAACCAGGATAACCAGTACCTCATCTGTTGGTCAGGATAACAAGTGCCTCATCTGTTGGTCAGGATAACCAGGATAACCAGTACCTCATCTGTTGTTTAGGATAACCAGTACTTCATCTGTTGGTTAGGATTACCAGGATAACCAGTACCTCATCTGTTGGTTAGTATAACCAGGATAACCAGTACCTCATCTGTTGGTTAGGATTACCAGGATAACCAGTACCTCATCTGTTGGTCAGGATAACCAGGATAACCAGTACCTCATCTGTTGGTCAGGATAACAAGTGCCTCATCTGTTGGTCAGGATAACCAGGATACCTCATCTGTTGGTCAGGATAACCAGTACCTC